TCTCCGTGCGTACCCAGCGGTAGAAATTGGTGTGCCGCAGTTTAGTCGATCGGAAGGTGGCGTGTGGTGGGGTAAAACGTGGGTACTGCCACCTCTTCCGAGATGTCTGGTCAGCATGGAAGAGCGTTTGTATATCTAGCCTCCGGAGGGGCTTTATAAAGTCCTGTCGATTCTAGATTTGAAGTTTTCGTGACTGCAAGGATCCCTACTCTTTGGTTCTTTCGGTAAAGTCACGTAGGTGAAAATAAAAATAAAAAAGGCAAGGCAAGGCCTTGTCCGTGTTGCCTCCGAAACGTCGTGATTTAGTTATTTGTAATTTTTATTTTCACCTACGTGACTTTACCGAAAGAACCAAATATAAATTCTCGTCGAGCTGGAGGCCCCTCCTGCCAGCAGTGGCACGAGATCAAGAAATTGCGGAGCTGCACCTCTACCGTTACCACTTACAGACGCGCCACCGATTTGTAATGATCCTCAGACTTTCTTCTCGACAGGTGAGTGAATATTGTAAAAGTGACCAGCTTCATATCTTTTAGAGAAGAGTGTTAACAGATTTAGTAAGTGTATTGATTCTGGTGGGAGACATGAAGAGGCTTTGAAATAAAATTGAGTGTTCTCCTTCGTGTCTCCCTACAGTACTATATTAGTGGGATTATATATGAATGGTTCCCCCTCGATATTTCTTCTCAGTATCTCTTTATACCTCTGCAACATGAGCCGTAGACCCAACAATTTTAGGCTCGGTGGAATACTGAAACCACACTTTTAACTGTCAATTTTACGTAGTTATTCTCGATTTTATCGCTCAAAACAAATGTTTACAGTTCAAATGGTACGGTGGAGACGAGTGAAAAAATAAGGCAGGCCCCATCGTGGTCCACTCGAGATGCCAAACCTAAAATGAGCTGACGCAGAGCTGCAGGAGCAGAGCTGTAGGGAAATCCGGAGGTAAGATTTATGTCCATTTATTTATTTGACAAATTGTTCTGTTTGTATCAACGCGGAAGAATTTATACAAAACAAGTTCACAAGCGGAGCTGTGCGGAGCTGTAACGGCGTGGCTTTGTTTTGTGGAAAATTATATTTTGCATTTTTGTACGTGGATTATCCAGTGTTATTTTTTGATACTTAAAAAAATCCTTTAACACAGAGTGGTTTGACCATTTTTCGATTTGAAGCTTTCGTGACTGCAGGGATTCATATTCTTGGTTCTTTCGGTAAAGTCACGTAGAAGGGAAATGATAAAATAACAAAAATAAAACATAATACAAATTCTCACGACGTTTCGGCCACAACGCAAGCAGCCATCCTCAGGACGGCTGCTTGCGTTGTGGCTGCTTGCGTTGTGGCTGCTTGCGTTGTGGCTGCTTGCGTTGTGGCCGAAACGTCGTGAGAATTTTTATTGTTTCCCTTCTACGTGACTTTACCGAAAGAACCAAGAATATGGTTTGACCATGCTTCACATCGCCGGTCAATGCGGGTTAGCGGTGCAGCAGCGCAGTTGGGAGCAGGACCCGTTCAGATGTAACGCACCACTGCTCTAAGCCGTGACTCGGAATCGAACTCAGGTGGCTGGGATCGGAGATCAGTGCGCTAACCACAGTGCACCCCCGCTGCTCTACATCTCAACGTCACGAAAGCTCCAAATTAAGATAAAAATCTCAACGTTATTTCTGTAATGAACCGTACATATGGTTGTTCTGTAGTCGTCAAATGCTACATTAGCACGTACAAATGTTTTACCGGTGATAACAATTAGTTTAAAACAATGAAGTTAAGAAATACATTTTACCAATGTATATAAATACAGGGGGTTGGCTGCAATTTATGTAAGTCATACCATCACCACTTTTAGGGTTCTTACCAATCCGTGTAAATGCCAAAGCACTCCCAATAGCCCAGACTAAAGCGCCTTATCGGAGATCCAAAGCGTACAACAACTCTTGCACATGACGCCGTCCTGGTCTCCTGAGTTCTCACCTGTACGTACGTATGTGGAACTTCTTTCGCACCATAATAGCCAACCGTGCGGATCGGAGGTGCGGCTAAACCTGCGTGGGCTGTCTTGTTATTTTTTGCCGCGTGCCCCGTCCATCAGTGGCAACGCATGAGCAGCCTTCAAATAATTTCTTATGCCGACTTATCAGCTCTTTGTCAGTTTATTTCATGATTCCATGAGGTTTCCTGTGGATTAACGCTCTCGTGTTAAATGTTTATTAGTTTTGCCCTAGAGGGGACGATGCTTTAGAGCACTGGGGTGAGTGTACGTCAGTTTTTTTGTGCGTGTATCCCCGGTTTCTAGACACAGCGCTTATTACATTTTTCCGGATCGTGTGGTTTCATAGGAACTCGATTTTAAGGGTCCAGATTTATGACGAGTATTTATTTTCGCGTGCAAGTCCGAGTTACACGTCCTCAAAACTGACATCGTCATTGGCATTGTTGTGCTATGTTTCAAAGCCTGCCCAATTATTGAAAACAATACATTTTTACGACAATTTGCTTTCCAATTATAACAAATGTCATCAAAGGTTATGGGTGTAATAACTATGTTTTTGGCACCAATTTCTTTGTGTGATCCATAATTATTTAGCAATCGTTATAAATATGAGGTGGCCGAGTGACTCACGGGGAATATATCACTGAGCCGCCAATGCTGGGAACCTGGGTTTGAATGCCGGTTGCAGCCGACCGTGCATGTTTAAACCGGAGTTCTCAAGCGTAGGGAGTTGATGGTGTCAGCTCCATCGCTAGTGACCGCACACAAAAATAGACCATCACATTAGATTTGGACTTTCGATCAAGTTTTAGTTCAATTCCAGGTCTGAGAATTAAAATATCGGTTATCCTAGCACGAGACAAAGCTTTCCCTGTAGCAGGGCATGTGGGCAGATGCGCCCCCTCGTTTGTGAATTTAAAGGGTGAATTAAAAACAAGGGTTTCGCATGAAGAGATTTCAGAAGCACTTTGGTGAAACCTCCTGCCGTAGGGCATTATCTCCCACGGGGTGGGGCGCTGCAGCGCTCTACGAGGGCTGCAATCGGAACCTTTGCCTGATTCCATGAAAGCCCAAAAAGCCGAAAGCCCATAAGGGGATAAATAAACTTCGTGAAAAATCCAACGTGTAAAAAAAAAGATATGAAAAACGACCCCTCTTAATTATCACAGCCAAACACGCGGAGGTAAACGCGGCCATTAGCGCGGCTCCGAATTTGGCAAGAAGGAGCGAGCGTCTCAAAAATCAGCGTGGCAGAAAGCTCCCCGTCCACATGGAAGGGAGAGCCTTTGGGATCATCCGTGCACAATGAGGCGGAATTATCACGGGAGCAGATAGACAAGCAGCCAGGATGGTGAGAGAAGCCAATTTAATTAACTCGTGAGCAGGCTATGTGGTCACACTGCACGGCACACTCCTTTTGTTAGTGCGGTGCCTTTTGCCGCATTTAATTTTACGCACGTCCACTTTTTGGAGCACGAAAAACATTTTTACTTCGTGTTTGTGACGCGTTCCCCCACTATCGCCGATGCGGAGTAGCACGGTTGCTGATGAATACATAAATACATGACCCAGCTGTGTTCTTCAGCAGCTGACGGATTCATATTCTAGCGAGAGTGGAAAAAGCACGCTTAATTAAAAACTAAATCTTTGCCGGAGTTGATGCGTTACCAATTTTGTGGCGAAACTCATTAAAGTAAAAAAAATTAAAATAAAAGTTTCGACTGAAATCAAATACTTGCATGCGCTTTTACACTAATTACCAAAGGCAAAAAAAACCCATTTCCATTACACATTGAAATAGTTCATTCATTACACTGGTGCATAAACCAAACACACACTATGCGCACAGCACTCCATTTTAAAATATACCCTCATTTTGCAATGAGGGACCACTGACAGTGAAGAATGCTGCACACATTTCTCCATTTCACTGACAAGAGTAGTGATTTCTGCCAGTCCTCAAGCGCAGTCACCCTGCCCCTATGCCCCACGCCATCAGCAGCGTCCCCATATGGGATTGGGGGCGCAGGGTCCACATCCTCCATTAAGCCCCGACTTGCAAGGCTTACAAGGGGTCTCGTACCACGTTCTCGCGGCCACTGGGAAGCGTGCCGGATGGTGGTTAAAGAAGCGATCGCATGCATACCAGCAGCAGCCACTATCAATCCGCTACTGGATGAAGGCCTAAGCTGTTGTCATTTCTCACAAGCCTGCAATGTAACAATTTCACCGAGCTCCCCGCACACAAGCGGATTCCGTCGCTCCATCTCACCGGTGGACGCACTTGTTGTCCCGGGCACGATACCTCCACTGGCATCTTTGAAGAAAACAATGGGTCTCTCGATGACGAAAAATCAGGAGAGACACCCACCGCTCAACGTAAAACGCACGCGTCTTTTCCCGAATGCGTCATTAACACGGCCGAGGCAAAACGCCACACACCGGTGCGACCTTTCAACCCCCATGTTCCCACCCCTTAGTCCACGGAGATTAGTCCTGGGCACTTTACAATTCCATCAACAGATGCATGCAATTAATAACACTCGTTTGCATACAAATGGATAGCTCATTTACATAGCAATCGGACAAATTATTAATGAACATGGATCGCCAAACTGGTGACAGTGGTGGGCCCCAAAAGACGGGAGGTTGAAAATGCCATTCTCTGAGCAAATATCTTTTTGTTTATGTATTATATTATTTAGTTGGTTAGTTGTGTATTATTTAGTTGGTAATTATTTTAGTTGACAAAAGCTGCTCGGGCTTGTGGGATCGCGTATGCGGGTGGCATAGATATGAAGTGTGCACGCAGATCATTTGCATCATCGGGGACCATGGGCTGAAGAGACCCAGATGCTGGGCTACAAGAAGAGGAGGCAGGGGTGGGTTGGGGGGGGTGATGGTGGGAAAAATTGTCCAGGGGGCACCAGTTTCATTCATCGCACCCCCAGGCACCAAAACCACGTGACGTCACGACACGGTGACCGTGCGAGCGCCTCACCGGGAAGCGGCAGGGCGGGCGCCTCATCCGGCGCCTCCGCGCTCTCCGCCTGCTCCCCGAGCCCCGCGTAGCCCAGATCACGTGGCTCCTCCAAGAAGAGACCTGCTCGCAGCCAGAGGCCAGGGGAATCCAACATAAACAGAGATTAAAGAGGGTGGCAGAGTGAGGCGCCCCCGGTGTTGCAGGAAGGAGGGCGGGAGCCGATGTACAGCTCCCCTCAATTGCCCCATGTATCAAACAGTGGCATCTGGCATCCTCGTTTTTTTTTGCATTGGATTTTTATTTTATTTTATTCCTCCGCCCCCGCCTCCCCCCTTACCAGCCCCCCCCCTCCTCACCCCAAATGTATTCCGGTTGAGCTACTGAAATCAATATCGTGCACATGCACGGCGCCGTCAGCCGATCTACTGCTGGATGACGGCTTCCCCACGATGTGCGTGCCATGGCGATTGTTTGACCATCCTTCACCAAGCTGCTCGGCGCGTGTCAGTTAAAGTTATATAAACACGGGAGCATAGAGGTAGCGTTGTACAACAGTGGACTTTACTGCACTGGCCTCTACAGCCCACCATACGGTTATTCAGCCACAACTCCTGTCATTTGCAGTGGCCACCCATCCGAGAGCGATCCAGGCTGAAGCCCTGCTTAGCTTCTGAGATCTGATGAGATCAAGTGCATTCGAGGCTATATTCAACATGAGGGTTAGGAATTAATCGCATAGCTAGCAGTGCATCACCCTGTGTAAGAGAGAGGAGGACATCGCAGGACGACTCACGCAGTCCTCTCCACAGTCCAATGTGTCCACACTTGAGGACGTAAATAGGAATGGAGAAAGCGTTAACCATCTCGGATAATTTAACACGCAGGTTTTCACAACCAATATTATGATTCGTAATTGTTTTGTTTTTTTTGGGTTAGACATCACGAGCACAAAGCGATCTAACCCGAAAACCAATTTACACAAATCATCTCGGGACACATAGACGATGGTCATTACAACAATTCAATTCCATTGAAGAAGGGGGGGGGGGGGCACGGTTTATATATGTAAATAAAACAGGGCTACAAACTTTTGATTAATTTATAACCACGAAGTCGAGCGAATGTTTTATATGCAAATGTGAATATTTGTTCGAGGAATAAAACTGGAAACCACATCGGTGTTATTATACCGAGGGCAATCATTGAAGGCCGATAGGAATCATAACAATGGCATAAAGAGGTGAGCGCGAACAGCTTGGAGTGCTTATGCACAATTAAAACTTGATAATAGAAAGCAATAGACCGATGCATAGTATCCGCTGTGAAATGCGGATTGGAAACATGAACACCGACAGAGATGAATTGAATAAAAGCAGAAGGGTGCATCTGCGCTAATTTCTGTGGACTGCTGCCTATCTACAAGCGCCGGCATCGCAAACCGTCACGCACGCAGGCAAAGAGGTCAGAGACAGGAGAGAGTGAGAATGTGAGAATAATGATGATGATAATAATAATAATGCAATTTGTAACGCGCACAACATTATCACGGACGTAATTGACCGTGACTGTCAGTGTTGTTTGAAAGCCAGGCGAGATAGAGGAGGTGGACCTGTGTGTACAACGTCGGTGTAGGTTGGACTCTGCTGCAAATGTGAAGCCGGTCTATTCCCTTACTTTGCTCCAATTTGGAATTCCCTCCCATCATCTCCTTTCACGAACTCTTACAATAACCCCGCTCTTAATTAAAAAAAACGTGTTAAATCTGCGTCTGTTACGACTTTGATGGTGCAGTTTTTTATTGCCCCTTTGACGTTTTGGGCCTTCGGGCCTTCGTTCAGCAACTGTGTTAAAAATATATATACAGAGTTGCCCAAAAGTCAGGAAACATATGGTTGTTTCATTATTTTTTTTACATTGGTATTAAAATATTTCAATTGTTTATTCTTAAGTTAAATATGTATAAATTAAAATGATTAACATCTCTCTGTATTCTTGCTTTTCACGTGACATTTACAGAAATCAACCAAGAACCCTGAGTGAAATGAGATGAAAGATAACTGATGAATTATCAGAGATAACACCTATATTATTTGTTAAAGAGTCATACATTCATTGCAAAATAGAAATCGTGCAGGCATGAATGTTAATGGCAGTCAGTTTTGAACATTTGTTAAAATAAATTAAAAATAATCCTCTGCGATTTGATCAAATGGATATGATAATACTCCTTGGTTCTTTCGGTAAAGTCACGTAGGTATAAATTAAAATAAATCACGACGTTTCGGGCGCAACACAAGCGTCCGTCATCAGGTGGGAAAGCATGGTCTGCTGCTGAGGCAGCAGACTGTTTTAAAACGGTCTGCTGCCTCAGCTTGTGTTGCGCCTGAAACGTCGTGATTTATTTTATTTTATACCTACGTGACTTTACTCATCCCTATCACCAGGAGATGGCAATGAAGTGGTGTGCGGTGCAGTCCACAAAATTGATTGTTCCACTCACTGGACCGAGCCTGTGGATGTAATCTGTCTCTGTGGTTCTTCTAAGTGTTATCCCTTAGAACGCGTGGGTTTACTCTGGCCACTCCGGTTTCCTTCTACGTGAAGTCACACACTCATTCGTGATGTTGACCCAACACCCCAAGGAAGAACCTTCCAGACTCAGTGAGGTTTTCCTGTGGAAAGAACTGGCACTACTGTATTGCTTATTATGATCTTTTAGAAAAACGTGAAAATACGAATGCATGGATTTTAGATTTTTTTTACGAATATAATATGGTCCTCCAGGAAAAGTGACTGACTAATAATGAATACATAATTTAGTATGTTTGGTATTTACGCCATTCTCATGGCGCACGGTTGTCATTTAGATGCTGTGTTTCACAGATGGGTAATCGTCTGTCAGTACCAAATTGCATTATTTGCAGGTAATGTTTCAAATTTGGATTGTGACACGGCCACACAACGGCCTTCCACTCCTCACGGGATCTTCAACGTCCACTTTGAAGCAAATCAGCGAATAGTATTTATGGGTAGAAATTACAATAATAATGATGATAACACGCCCGTCAAATATTAACGAGGGCGACTGCTCGGCTCGAACTGCGAACCTCTGTAACAAGCGGCACGCGCGCTTCCGCTCAGCCGAGTCACTGCCCCCAGCCGGGCCGGGTGGGGGGCTGGGGGGGAGAGCGACCTTCCAGGCAGGAGGGTGAGCTGGTATTCTTAGGTTTTTTCGGTAAAGTCACGTAGGTAAAACATCAAAATTAATTATTTTATTTTATTAATTTTGATGTTTTACCTACGTGACTTTACCGAAAAAAACTAAGAATATGAATCCTTGCAGTCACGAAAGCTTCAAATCTAGGGTGAGCTGGCAAATGAGCTGGCGGGCGAGCGAGCTGGCTAGCGAGTAGGCAGGCGAGCCAGCGGGCAGGTGGACAAGCAAGCTGGCGGGCAGGTGGGCAAATGAGCTGGTGGGCGAGCTAGCAGGCAGGTGAGCTCGCGAGCGCATGGGCAGGTGGGTGGGTAAGCCAGCGACTGGGTGAGCTGGCGGATGAGCTGGTGGGCGGGCGGGCTAGTAGGCGTGCGAGCGAGCGAGATGGCGGGCGGATGGGCGGACTGGCCGGGAGGACTGGCATGAGGGCATTAAATCGTCGAGCGCTTTGAGAGCCGGACGGCACCACCGCACGGCGGAGGGATGCGGCAACAGGGGCCCTCGTCTAATGGCAACATTCGTCTGCAGAGCGGACGCCAAGTGAGAATTAAAGATAAAACAATAACTGGGCCATGTGCAGATATTCGAGTGCATCGTTCTCTTTCTGGGCCCCCTCATGTCCTCTGGGAGCATATTTATTTTGCTCTGTGCATGTATGCGCGTGCGTCTGCAAGTCTACTCAAGGGGATCTTTGTGTTTATGCAATGTATGTCAATTTGATTATTTTTAGTGGGGATTCTTTTTCTTTTTTACATCGCTTGTACTTTCGCTGGCTCCTCTTGGGATGTTAAAATTGTATTTATTATCCTTATACTCGTGGCTGCATCGCTAAACCGCATAATTTATTGAAAACGTATCACACGGACAGGCATGTTGAGTCTCGAATTCCGAGTTCATTCACATCCAGGGCAATCAGATCCAGTGACCAGGGCCGCATTAACGCAGGGCGGGGAGGGAGCGGGCTTTTAAGGGCTGCATTCTCATACCTGGGATTTTGAGAAGCCACCAAAAACATATATACACACACAATGCATTATAACGGTTCAAACACAATACTTTTAAAATATTCCTGGTTCTTTCGGTAAAGTCACGTAGAAGGGAAATAATAAAATAATAAAAATAAAACACTTTTTTTATGAATCCCTGCAGTCACGAAAGCTTTAAATCGAAATTTCATCATTTTAAAATAATAATTTTCCCACAAATTTGTTGTCGGTGTCGTGTCACGAGAGATGAAGTATCCTTGGCGATCTCTTGCAGAGCATTGCGACCCCTTCGTGTTGGAAATGCCACAGAGCCACTTCTGAGATTCCCTCAAGTGACCCTTCCTGCTTCCCACATAGAGCAGCACTTCTGGCTGCCGCTCCAATGGCTGTCTGGGTAATCTGTGCTTATCCATCCCGCACACCTGTCCCACCTATCACAATCTCGCCTTCCTGGGTACATTTGGTGCCACCCTCTGTTAGAAAACAGCCCAAGGAAGCGGATATCGTAAAGCTACCCCTGAGATCCCTTCAAGTGACCTCCCATCTCACCTTTGACCTCTGTATCGTACCACGTTTCCAGCTATTCTGGATAGGAGGAGAACGTTCGTCGCGTGGCAGTCAAACGGAGCTTTCAATTCTCGCAGCTGGAATCGAGCCAAATTAAGTTGCGGTACCAAATGTAGCGTGATGGTGTTTTTTGTACGGTTATGCATGAACAGGCTGTGCAACGCTGTGTAAAAACATTAGCGTTATAATAACTCGCCCACGAGTAATCCACTGCTGGATGAAGGCCTCCCCAAGCGTATATCGCCATCTCTCACCGTCTCAGGATGGAGAAATTCACCGAGCACCTTGCATACGAGCTCATACGTATCACTCCATCTCCGTGGCGGACATCCCCTCGCTCGCAAGGAAGTAAA